CCAACCCACAAACATGAGATGTCTTTCCATCTTCTACCATCTTCAACTGCTTTCTTAAATGGTTCATAGTTTTCAGCATGGAAATCTTTCGTCTCTTTGGTTAGGTTTATTTCTAGATAAGTTTGGAATGTTTGTAGTTTTTGTTGTTGTTTGTTGACTAAATCATATTTTTAGAGAGTCAGGCTATTATGAATAGGATTGTTTTCCTGATTACATTCTCACCACATTCAAAGACCAGAACCCCAAAAAATACCACCAAAAGAGTTAACTGGAGCAGATCAGGAGAGACCTGGAGCAGTTTGGAGTGGGTTTTTTTTCTGCAACTTTCAGTAAATGTTTATTAAGCTCCCTCCGAAGACTAGCTAGACTCTACATACAATGTTTAACACACAATGTCTCTTTTCCATGCTCTGCCTAAACGTTTCTCATTCCAGTCATTGGCTGGACTTAGTCAACATCTTAGAGCTTACCTTTCCCGTTGAATCTCCTTGGACTTTGCTTCGTTTGCTCAGTAGTTCTTTGGAGGTCTCTGGGGGTACCTTTGAGGTAACTGGGATTCAGTGGGATTAGCATATCAGATACCACATGATGCTGTAGTACTGATGCATTCATCATGGAGACTTGGCTGACAGTCTTGCCATGTTGGTGACAGACACATGAAATTACTTTAGTCATTAGCTTTAGTTGGACAGGGACTGTTCTCCAATGGACTGACCTCAACTAGGAAGTTAAAGGTCACTGAGTGCACTTCTTAATATAAACATTTTGCTCAGTCTTTCAAAGGATCCTGTGTTCTTCCAGAGACATTTTCTCTCAAGTTCCACCCAAGGGAGAAACAAACAATAGAAAACACATCCCCCTTTTTGTTAAGTGTTTTTAGAAAAGGCCTTAATCTTCATACTTGATTTTCTCATTTTTTAAAGTATAAACAATCTTATGCTTATCTCACAGAGTCATTTTGTGAATTGGAGAGACTGAGGCAACACTCTGCCCAGGTAGCTGGCTGGCTTAAACACCAACCATTTACCTCAGGTGTTTCTGCAGACAGGAAATATGAGATCAGGGGCTAGCCTGGACTGGCTCTGACCCCAACTCCCTTTGAGAGTGCACATGATTGACTTCTCACTACATTTTTTTCTAGGCAGAAAAGAAGAGAGAACAAGAGCTCTGTGACCCCCTTTAAAGGGTTCAACCCCAAAGACCGTCCACAGTCCTCACATCTAAATGTGGTGACTTAAAGGATTTGGATTTCTCCATACTCAAGGGAAAAGATATTTAATCCATTGCACACATGGAAATACCAGTGAATATCCACTTTTATGTTCAACAGTGTGGAAGGCAGTATGCTGGGTGCCGTACAGACAGATAAATGTGTTACACTCATAGTTGCCATCCCCACACTTGTGCTGTAGTCACTTAGATGAACAACACCAGAAACTGAAGTGCAAAGGAAAGAAAAACAAACTGGTAAACAAAACCAAATTTGTGGATTTGTGGTAACTATTTGTCTATCAGTTAAGAGGACACATGTTTGTAGTCTTGAATTTCAGGTTCGTTGACCAGGACTCAAGGGTTTCACCATTCAGCTTTGCCCTAAACATGAACACCAGACACTGAAGTGCAAAGGGAGGAAAAACAAACCAGTAAACAAAAACAGTTTGTGGATTTGTGGTAATTATTTGTCTATCAGTTGAGAGGACTCATGTTTGTTGGCTAGAACGCAAGGGGTCCACCCTTCAACTTTGCCCTTAACATGACATAACTTCTGCTTGCTGAGGATTCTGCTCCTGCTTTAACAAAATGTCTCTTCCCTGTGTATAGCTGGGTCTTGATTTTGCTTCCTGTTTTCCAATTCCAGCCTGAGACTCCTGGTTTTCCCTCTACCACACTGGGAACCAGTTCTGATCTCCAAGTCTGCTCTTTAGGTCACTGTGGAACCCCATCTTGAACTGCTTGAGCTGCCTAGTCTCATTTTCAGAGCTACATTATTCATAAAATTTTATAAATAGTTCATTCAAGATGAAATTACTCTTGATCATTTCTAGCTCAATATATAGACTAGAAACAAAAGAAAAATTAATTATGAAGAGTAATCCAACATGAATCAAAATCACTATAAATAATACAAATAGCAAATATTTATCATTTTTTATACACAGAGCCTCACATTTTGAGTAGTAAATTATCCTCTGTCACTGTAAGTCTTAATATTCTTGAGATTTATAGATAGTAATTAATGCTTCAAACCTATAATTGATATGTTTCAGATTATAGCAGAACTCTGGCACAAATTTATTCACAAATGTCTAATTGGTTAATTAATCTAACAGTTTATTCATGGAAGTGATTTAATCTGTGGCATCATGAAATTTTACATGTCTCCCTAAAATTTTTCAAAACTGCAATTGCTTAATTTTGTGTTTCATTAAACAATAATGTGAGAATGACAACAGCTTCTCTTTAGGACAGTGCATTTTCCTATAACTTGCTCTGTTTTCTTTTGTAGACATTTGTCATACATAATGCTGAAAGGATAGTATGGTTTCATTCACAGGAAAATATTTTAAGTAGTACAAAGAATGAGTGAGGAAAGATGAGAAAGAACACTGTCAGAGACAGCAAACTCTGCAATCTAAACTCAGCATTAAAAGCTCACCATCTGGAAGAGGATGGAATAATAGTGCAATGCATACATAGCATGTGCCGAGTGCTGAGTTTTTTATCCCAACATCCCTCAAAAGCACTCTTCAGTTTTCTTTTTACCTGTAACTGCTTAAAACTGTTACAGTTCACACAAAGATCAAAGATTACCAAAGTGTAAGCTCCTCTGACTCTTTACTATTTCCCTTTAGGACAGACCCCTTAATAAATAATACCCATTACAGTAAATAACCAAGCTTTATGATGATGCCACACCCATTTCCTAAACTCATGTAAAGAATTGACTTAGAGTAAATGGCACAGATAGTCTATCTTCTAACTCAGTTGACTTGATGATTTTTCAAATAGTTATTAATTAAGCGGGTATTTTGTGTTAATGCTGGAGGGATATTAATGTAAAAAATATTGGCTAGATTTTATTAATAGAAATGAGTTTCATAATTTGTTTGTGCTTTTATCTTTTTCCTTTTGAACCCAGGGCTCCACACATGCTGAGCACATGTCTTACCAATAGCTTTTTCTAAGGAGTGTTTATTGAGCACTTTAACAATCAAGTTGTAAGCACAAACAGAAAAAAATATATAAAGGTGTAATTATATCAGTCTTGATCATAATTCAGGAAGAAAGCCCACAAAAGTAATACTTTAAATAGTAAAAGATTTTCAAGAAGTGCTTTTCTGTCAGATAATTTTATATGAATTTTATGTAGGGTGCATTATAATTGCATTATTATAGATTCTAACAGAGGGAAAAATAACTATGTTAATGAATTAAATTACATGTATCATGGTTTCAATGAGAAAAAAAGCCAAGACAGAAATTAACATAATCATTTTCAGTATACTTTTTATGTGAAAATAGTGATTGGAAAAAAGTGGCATTCACATTGCAGGACCTTGAAGTATTCAAAATGCAGTGGAGAGGAGAGAAAGTTATGCAAATGTTCAGATACACGTACAGACTTTTTGCCCAGTCTTTACAGTATGAGCTGTTATCCAGTGGATACAGTTCTTCCATGATGTCCCAAAACATGAGAAGCCAAGCACCCAATGAAGAGAACAAAAGGAAGTGTATTATTAGGGTCTAAGATCATGCACAAGGCTTTATGCCAACAGCTGCTACCTTTCCAAAGGTTTTGGTCCTATGATTGACAGTGTCTTTACTGTCAAGGGTGTGCTGGGCAGTGCTGAGAGCTGGGTTGTGATCTACTCTGTGTGGGTGCTCTGTAGTCACTGGCTTCTTTTTTTTTTATCAAGGATACACCTGACTACCTCAATTGTGAAGCTTTATAAGCTAGCCTATGGTTTTTTACACCTTGTGACACACTGTAAAAAGATACTAGTTCAACAGATACAACAGATATTAGTTATGGCAATGTAACCCAAAGCACAAACCTTTTCTTAAAACCCAGACACAACATAATGGAGGAAGGAGTCATGCATAAATACTATCAGAAGACCCACCTCACCATTAGTAAAGGAATTAATATTGATAGGATGACATTTTCTTACTAGATAGATACTCTTATTTATTGTAGCAAATATTAGGAATCATTTAACCTATGGATATTGTCCCAATTTGGGAGTAAACCATTTTGAAAGGCAGCCTTGCCTTGTCTTCTCCCTGAATTTTAAACGGGTGCTTGTTGACCTGGAACATTTACTGACAAGAATTTTTCTTCTAGAATTAATCTACAGCATGCGTATAATGTATACACACACATAATAATAATATTTGTTGCATTAAACAGGGGAAAGTATTTACAATATTAAGAAATGCTCTTGATTTAACATAACAGGATAATATGATTTATTTATCAATGTTACATGATGCTACACTTATTAGAAAATTGTTTCTTTGTGTATCTTTCCAAAGGAAAAATACATGGTAATTTTTCCAAAGGAAAAAATATACACAGAAAAACTAAAGAGACACAGTTATATCCTTCAGATTTTTATTAACCTAGTTAGTTAGCATTCATGTGTATATCTTTTGTTCATAAAAGGTTGCTATGGAATGTCATATATTTTTGTCAGACCTCAATATCTATAAAACTAAAATGGAGACTTTCTTAAAAACCATTTTATGCAGATGTTTTGCTGTATATATTTACTACACAGAGAAAACTTATGACCTCTGGATCTATTGCTAACACAAATCTGAGTGCTAGGAAACTAAATGCCGTAATGTTTTAAAATAGCTTGGTTTAACTTATTATTGAAAAATAATACAAGAAAAAAGAAAAATAATACAAGAAAAAGATTTTTGTATGCACTTAATAAACTGATGTCTAATTCTTTTCTTCCTTTTTAAAAACTGTGTTTCTTTTGTTTCCACAGAGTTACTGGAGGTGAACTGTTTGAAGACATAGTGGCAAGAGAATATTATAGTGAAGCTGATGCCAGGTAAGTGGCTTGCCCTGAGCAAGATAAAGACACATCATTCCATTACTGACACTTGTTCTATACATAAATGTATCATTTAAGTATATCGTGACCCAGCCATTATCAGAATCTCATATTACCACTGTGTATTCTCCTTATGATGGGTTCTTCATTTGGGAAATTTCCAACGATTTTCATGATGGCTTTTAGAAAAAAAAACTCTATAGTCTGTTTTAATTCTTATTTTTAATCAATTTTCACTTGAGCTTCCATGTTTTGGAGGCTTAGTTAGCCACAGTGGCTGTTGAGTACCAGGGGGACAAAGAGTTCCTGTCACCACAGGAAGTTCCTCAGTACCACATACTTCCAGTCAGCAAAGAGAAACAGGCCATGGAAGGTCTCAGTGCCCTTTTATAGTGTTTCTATTAGCATGTAATACTTTGGATATTTCATTAAAACCTCTAGAATGCTGGTGTGAAAATTATTTATTTTTCTGTTTCTGAGGGTTCACGTGTGACTTACTAATTTTATTAATTAGCAAAATTTTCATGGAAATTTAATAAAGAGCCAGCATTTTATGCAATCTTCAGTTGCCTAGGCTACTCAAAATCATTTTTGAAGTAAATTTTCATTAACCTACTTACCTAGACCTATTTAGACTTGGTGGTTTTAACTTTCCTTCTGCATTCTATAATTTTAATTTATGTTGGAAACCCTGATGAAGAACAACTAACTCACCATAACATAATTGATGCTATGAAAGTGAAATCATTGGCCATCTGCCCCACCTCTACTGCTCTCCAGGTCTCCAAAACTATAGCAGCAATAGGGACTCTCATGGCACTCAGCTAATGCTGAGGCTCCTCCTACCTCCGGAGTAGCACATGACACATAAAAGCTCACCTTTTACCTAAGTGGTAGCTGTCTGAAATCCCAACCCTTTACATATGGAAGCCAGGTCAAGAATCCCAGGCCAGTCTGCACTACATAGTTGAAACACTGCCAATAATAATAATAATAATAATAATAATAATAATAATAATAATAATAAATTGCTTTTCAGAAAGCTCGGCTTTCAATTACTAATTTTTCTTGATTTTATGCTACTACATATTCTTGGCTTAATACTAATGTTTATGGTATTCTGTACATCTGAATATATGACTACGCTTTAATTTGTAGTGTATGTTTTGCTGTTAAAGTCAAGTAGAAAATTCTGTTTGGCCTGTGGTACAGTGAGTAAATCCTTAGTTGCTTAATGTGCTCAAATCCCCAGATTTGACCCCAGAAAAGAAACCTAGAGCAGTTCTAGAATAGCTATTTGTCCATTTGCCAAGCAGGACCAACAATTTTAATTAAGGAATCAATTAAGAAAGGGAGTTTGGGGCTGAAGAGATGGTTTAACAGTTAAGAGCACTTGCTCCCAGGTTTGGTTCCCAGCACCTATATGGTGGCCACAACTGTCCCTTCTTCTGACCACTGTGGGCACCAAGCACACATGTGTACATTCAGACAAACACTCATACACATAAAATAAATAAATCTATAAAGCAAAAAAAAAATTTTAAAGGAACTTTTATCTACTTTGTTTTTCTAAGATATGGTAAACATGTTCTGTTTGAAAACTTGTGGCTGAAGTGAGGTAGAGACTATTTTAACTGTTGGCAAGCAGTAATAGTTAACAGGACAAAACCCGGAGGTTGCTCCTCGTCATGTGTATGTCTATATTACTTGGAGAATCAATTATAAAATAGTTTCTAGGATAGAGATCCAACAATAAGTCAAGAATAATTCTTTTCCCACATAGAAGCATTAAAAGGCTGTGTCCTCATTAGCCCTCAAGAGCTTAGGCATGGCCAGTGGCACTTGTGGCCAGCCTCAAGTGGGTGTGGTCAGCAGCACCTCTAAACAGGATTACTCCTTACAATAAAGAGTAGTAAAACTGATTTACTAAGAATCATTGTTTCTTAATTTTAGCCATAAGCCAAGTAAGTTACTTTTATGGCTAGATTAAACAGAAATGTTCCAGAAAGACTGTGTGGAGCTCACATTGTGATAAAGGAGCCGCACAGTTATACAATTATGAGTAATAATCAAGTGAGCTATGCAGTTGACACCTCCACTTTGAGTCTGTTTGAGTGGGGTTCCAAAGAATGACAATTGTCATGGGTGTTTTAATATGAGCATTATTAAAAATTAGACAGTGGTTGCTTTTTTTTCATTACTAATTTCCTGTAGCGTATCATTATGTTACATACCAAATGATTTGAAATGTTTTTACCAGATTGTGCACTCTCCCCCTGATTCAGCGAATTCCCTTTTGTTTGCACTCGGGTTTGAACTGCACATTGGATGTGTGCAAGACTTGTCAATATGGTGTGTTCTGCACTACTGTGTGTCAGGTGGCAGCTTATTGGGGTCTTGCAGCTGCCGGTCAAAAAAACTTCTTCTCTCTAATTTAATTTGCAGTTATCTTGGTATCAGTAAGTGTCTAACAAGAATAACATTGATGGTGCATTTTAACATGGTAATAAGTAAAACTTCCTTCACTAAAGGGTGTGGGAATAGACTTAACAATTACCAGTTCCCAGGGGATCTTAAACATATTTTCAAGGTCCTTAGCCCTTTCCCTGGGTTTTCTTACTGTGAAGGGGGCTTATTTTATGTCATGGGTCAACTTTGGATCCCCCTGTCCTCTTGGAGCTTGCATTCATTTTCTTCTTCCTGTACTATACAGGAAGCACCCATTCTAAATCACCAGTCCATGTGTTTCTCCATTTTTTTTTATTAAAATCCCTGTTTCACCTACCACTTCATCTGTGTTTACCCTTTTGTTTCAACATGTTTAATTGTGACCTCAGATCTTAAACAGTTTAGATTGTGTATAACAAACACATGGAAATTTTATGTCTCCTGATAATCTTCCCAGCACATTTTGGAAATTAAACTTCAAATTTTCTTCCTGAATGTGGAGATTCCTGCTTCTATAACAGATGACTTAATCTAGAGACCAACAACACAGCTTAAATTGTTTTGTCTGAATAGGTCACAAATTCTATGTTGGATGTCATTTTAGTAAAGTTCAGAATTAGCTTTATTCAACATTGTTTAATCCCAGTGTAAAGCTAAGAAAATTGTGAATAAATATAATTTTGTTCGTTTGTTTTGTTTTGTTAGAACCTTCATTTTATTTTGTATCCAATGTGACTATGTGCCTTTAAAATGTTCTCCCTTCCATTCTGCCCTTGTATCTTTACAGTCATTGTATACAACAGATTCTAGAGAGTGTAAATCATTGTCACCTAAATGGCATAGTTCACAGGGACCTGAAGGTCAGTATATGGAGTCCATAAATCTGAATAAAGACGTTTCTTTCTTTTTTTTTCTGGGGAAAGGGCAGAGGCGGGTGGGGTATGAAAATGCTGTTTAAAATGCCTTTCCCAAGTTTTTCTTGAAATGAACAATGAAATGACAATGCATGATGCCTCTTCAGTTTGCTCATCTACAGGCTAAATATACATCATAGCAGGAAGGGAAGAGCAGCGCCAATACAACCTGCTACGTTTCCGAGCAATAAATTACCAGAGTTGGTTTGAGGGCAGGCTTTCCTGAACTGTCCAGCGCTGGCCTGGAATGAACTTGGCTGTGATGTATGTCTGCCTGTAGATTTAACACCACTTCTGTTCTGAGACCACGGGTTGCTGAAGCAGGACAACTGGCACACATTGGTCACTTGAGCCTGGCGAACCCTAGGCAAGGGGTAACAGTTGCCAGCTAGACTACACAGCACAACAAGTCCGTGTTGTCAAAAATTCATTCTTGTCCTCATTTAAACCTAATAGTGCCTTGTGCGCTAGCAGGACAACTTTTAGAACGATATGTAAAAACGGGAAAGAGTGGCAAGAGAGCACAACTCCCGAGATTGCATTTGTGTTCCAGTTCACTTCCTGGAAGAATTTATAACCAGGAAATGAGTTCCAGAACAAAATGAGATATTGTCCAAATGGATCTTTTTAGAACAAGTTAATACGCATCTTGGCTCACAGCTGGCAATATCCTAATTGTTCCGAGGTAGTAGTCACTCTCCTTGAGCAATGTGTTGCTGTGACCGAAGGAGATAAATTCAGCACCGGTTGTCCGCTAGCTTTGCTCTTTAACCCGGTCTCTCTAAGGGTATACAGACAGTGAGTGTAAGCTTGGAACTAACACACGCCCCCTGGTGTTTGCATGCAGTCATTGCATTCAGCAGATCCTGGAGGCTGTGCTACACTGCCATCAGATGGGCGTAGTCCATCGGGACCTAAAGGTGAGTAATGCTGTTGGAGAAGATAAAGAAAGAGCCACACAGTTCCAAATGACTGTTCAGCTTCAGTTATGCCAGGAAAGGCAAAAATTCAAGCAATGCAGCCTTGTGGACTCATGCCAACACATGTATCCAAATGCTTTCCCTCCCACAGCCTCTTGTTCTGTCTCCTAACATATACTTGAAACAGATAAAATCAGAGAGAAATAAGTTTCCTAACATTAACAATAAATAACTTGCTTTCTTTCCATACTCCAAAGAATGGACATAGATGACTTCAAGATTTATGGTTGTTCTCTTTGCTATAAACTAGTTCTGTAGGCTTTGATCAAACATGGCACTTTTCATTTATACTATATGTCTAACATTATATCAATAATTTTCAGAACTACAAACATAGGCTTAGCTCCAGTGATTGAGTGCCATTTTGAACTCTGAACTCTTTCCCCTACCACTAATTCTTGGAATTCTAGGACTGTAGGTTTCCCAAGATACTACAATCTCCGAAAAATAAAGATGGAAAAAGTTTATATCAGATCAAGTATATGAAACATGTGTTTATATTTTTCCATGGGAGCCCACTAATAGTTGTTAGGGTTTATTCAGTTCCTATTACCCCTCCGAACAAGAAATTTTAGATTATTTGGAGTGAGAGAGTTTAGGGGATTCTTCCACTAATTTTCTGTTCCCATCTGTCATCATTCTAGTTTCACTTGTTATATTTCCAAGAAACAGAGAAACCTACAATAGCAAGTAAAATAAATCCATAGGGTTGGGAGAGGGTAGCCAGTATGCTTCATGGTATATTATAGTTTCAATTCTTTGTTGACAATCCCAGTATTTCCAGGCTTTACTACAGAGGCAATATAGTGGTCAGTGGAAGGACCTGGACATTCTCATACATATACTTCTGGTACTTTAAGAAACTATGATTTTATAGTTTCACATAATGCTCAACAAGAATATGCACCTGAATACCCAGTGTTATTAGTATGTGGAGGTATGTTTTGTACCAAAAAATTGACTTTGTTTTCTGGACTCTTTTCCTATTTCAGTTGATTCTGAGAATTTTAATTATGAAAAGCAAAGCTTTGGTTGATGGACTTTTCTTTGGAAGAGTCAGGATATTGGATATTTTCTAATGCTTACCACATGTATGTAGTAGGATAAAAATGAAACAACATGCTCCTTTCAAAAGTCCTATTCTGGGCAACTGTGTCAAAAATTTATTAGTGGCCAAGGAAGCAGTCAGGACCCAGGAAACTTTTAATCTTTGCACTGGGTTTATGTGGATATGCTCACTATTTGTGCTGTTTTATCTGATACACATATGGAACGTTGTACTACATTTATGTGACCAAATATATAACCTAAAGCCAAACATAAAAAGTGGGAATTCCTTCCACTCCATTGTTTGGTATGTTTTATGGGATCAGGATATGGATTTGCTGGAACTTGAATCAAAGATGGCAGTGGGCCTGGGACATTTGTGAAGAAAACAGTTTTCTGATATAAGATCTAAACTCTGTGATAAAACTCCAGGCAAGTGTTTCTAGAAAGGCTTACTAGCGAAAGAAACCATGCACTGCTTGCCCTGGCTTCCCCACCCTGCCTCTCTGATTTGCAGAAAGGATGGAGATTGACTTTTGAGAGCACTTGCTGTAATTTCTGTAATTGCTTGACCTAGTTTTGTCAAATTGATGACTTGGATAAACTCTACAGAGTCTGCTTCCAGTGCTTATCAGTAGACCACTTCATAATCATTATAGTAGAGTTTAAAACTTGTGCAATAACAGCATCAGATGTACATGTAAGGGTGTTAAACCCCTGACTTTGTTTTGTACCTTTTTTACCAAATGAATACATTAGCCTAGATTTTAGTAGCATGTCATAGAAGAATCATCATGCAGGGAGGTGAACAAATGGGTTAGCCTAGATTTTAGTAGCATGTCATAGAAGAATCATCATGCAGGGAGGTAAACAAATGGGTGGAAGGATAGATGGATAGATAGATAGATAGATGAATGGATAGATAGATAGATAGATAGATAGATAGATAGATAGATAGATAGACAGATAGTGCAATTCTGGAGATTCTTATGGCTACCTCACAGGAATGTATCATTGAAGTAGAGCAGAAGAAATGCAAAGTCTTTGTTAGCTGTGGTAGTAGATACAACATATTGCAAATTCCAAATTTTTAATAGTTAGAAAAATCCTATTTTCCTCAGATCTGTCTTTAGATAAAAATCTGTGTATCCTGTTTTTCTCAGAACTGTCTTCAGATAAAAGATTAAAGGGCAATCATTTCTGTGTAGCATTTGTCTAACTATCTAAGAAGAAATGCTAAGTGAAAATCAAGCACATCAAGTTGTCATTCTGTCATTTATGGAGTGTCTAGGGCTTGTGAGGTCTTAGAGAAGAAGTTGCTGTGGGGTGCAGTCACACCAGTTCCACTCTGATTCTTTCAGTCAAAATTCAGCCTGGTTTGCTCAGAGTATAGAAGTAAATTTAGAGACAGGAAAGGGATACAGAGGGGTTCCAGTGCATCTGCCTACCTGTGCAGGACACCAGAAGTATAGCTTCCTGATTGAAAACTCAAACACATACATCATCCAGAAAGTCCCCTGTTCTCCATACATGAAATCAGGAATTCACTCCCATCAAAAAACTTAAATGAAAGCTAAAACCATCTGTACCAGTGAACAAATGGAACAAGTGTAGATGCCATTCAAGTTTTTCAGCTCGGACAAAATTCCATTTAGTTGATTTCTGGGAGTTTTGCTCACACCTTCTCTGGCAAAAGAAAGGGTGACTGAAAACATACCAAAGCAGGGAATAGCTAGCTTCTAGCTAGATTATTGAGATTTTAAAATAAAGGAAAGGAATTTTAAAAGACCTTTAAAATTCATTACAAAGAATATCTAGGGGAATTTGACAATCAATACTTCACAATAAGAGCATTTGATATTTTTATAATAAAAAATAAAAAATGTTAAAAGTAAATCACTTATCTGACATATATATTCCTAATGATTGAGTCTTACCATATAAGCAATGATCACAGGCTTGCCAAATAAAAGCTGTGACTAATGTTCATGTGATCATTGCCTTTTCCAGATTAACTCCTTAATAAACATAGTGCTAATTAAAGACTCAAAATCAAGTCTTATGTTTCCTAAGTTTTCACTTTTTTTTTTACGTATAGGTGGCAATTACTTTTTATTACTTCCAACTGTGTAAAAATACCTACCAAACAGACTACCTTATGAAGGAACAATTTTTATGTCACCAGTCAGTGTTCTATGACTGTGAAGTGACACTATGACCACACCAAATCTTACAAAAAAGAAAGCATTTAGTTGGGGTTTACTTAAAGTTCAGAGGTTAGGTTCACTATCATCGTAGGGAGGGAAGTATGGCGGCATGCATTCAGACATGGTGCCAGAGAAGTAGCTGAGAGTTCTACATCCAAATCAATAGGCAACAATAAACGAGAGTCTGGGCTTGGAATGGCTTTTTGAGACCTCAGAGCCCATCCCCAGAGACACATTCTGCTAACAAGGCACACCTTCTAATAGTGCCACTTTTCAAATAGTGCCACTCCCTGGTGACTAAGCTTCAAATCTATGAGCCTACGGAAGCCATTCTCATTCAAACTACCACATGTACCAAATCTACAAAAGAATAATTATGCAGCTGAAGAGATGTCTCTGTAGGTGAAGTGCTTACTGCCTACACTTCAGGAACTGATTTTGGATCTCTAACACCCATATAAACTTCTACTACACTTTTGTAGCCCCACCTCTGGAAGGCAGAGACAGGGGGATCCCAGGGGATCACTGGCTAGTCAGCCTAGTCACTCAATAAAGACACTGTCTCCAAAAGTAAACTGAAGCATGATAATGCAAAGCACTCCATATTGGCTTCTATGTACAGAGGTGCATGCACACATATACACCCACTTATACACACACTTTTGTGCTCCAAAAGGTGAGGCAATTAAGAAATCTAGCACTAAGTCCTAGACTCTTCTTTGTGAATATTTCTACCTTTATAAACTTGGGGTCTTGAGATTTACTTTTCCTTCCAAGACTCCACTAGTTCTAAAGGTGATTGCACAACCTGCTTAAATACTTTCAGATATTTGAATAATCTTAAGAAGTCTTTACATCCTCCTGAAAGCTATTGCTTTCATATCCATATGGAAACACAGAACAAAACTTGTACACAGTTGCTGCTCATTGCAGCTGATATGCTATAAATGGTTGTTGACACTGAGACCAGATGTCATGGAAAATCCTGCAACATTAAGAAGCAATGGGGTGGGGAAGGAACCTATGTGTGAGAATGTCAGGGGACTCTATTTAAAAACCAACCTACAAAGTGATCACATTCTAAGAGTGTAGAGATCATTGCAAAGTATACAGGCTAACAGAGGGATTCATATGAACATTTCTTCAGTTTTAAATATGCATTGCAGATTGAAAATGTTTCTGCACTTTGAAATGACCAGTCTGGGGAATTACCACAGGGGAATGTAATACCTGATCACCAGCGTGTATATTGTCCCTACAAAGGATTATGTTCGTATGATGCACATCCACTAGATATTGTCATGAGATATAATTCAGTAGCCTCATAATACTATTTGAGAGATGAAAGAAGTGAACACCCTATAACAGGGGTTGCCCAAGTCTGCAGCATCAGAGTGACAGTCAAGACATGAATCTTGAACTCACATTTTTTTTCTAAACCATCACTATGCCCAGTTCCCTCATTTTGCAGAGTCAGTGTACATGTGCAGGTGTGTTGGAAGGTCTCTGCTTCTGATCCTGCCTGTCACATTCATCCTAGGAAGTCAAAACAATGGGATGGTAGCAACTGGCATGAGATGGAAATCCTTCCTAAGGAGGCATCCATGCATCCACTGGCATTCTGATTGCTCTGTTTGGTGTAACCTGATAACAGATGCATTCCTTTCTTAAGCATTCAGAGTTTGAACTACTCAGCAATGGACTTTCATAGTATAATATAAGCTTCAAGTTAAATGTTAGGAGTGATTCAAGAAAACTCAAAACCTATGTGCCAGTTCTTACTAAAAGTTTCTTTAGTAATTATAGTGAATCAGACTTCTGCACACCCACAGAGCACAATAGAAAAATTATTCTAACTGCCCTTTCTAAAAAGTAGAAAGAAACTCTATGGAAGTAAAATATGAATGACACATTAAGGCTTTTATTAAAACTAGCCACTGAAAGCAATCTTTGAGTGGAATATTAAAAAGCAGATTCCTTTAATAAACCAAAAAATGTTCTAATTTTTCAACTTCCATTTCATATTCTTTATGTTAGGTTTTCCTAAACAATATGCACAGATACAAAGCCATGTCAGTGCTCTTGATTTTAAGATGTATCTTATCCCTTGCAAATAGGCCTGCTTTCTCCTGTTCATAGCTGCTGCTGAACAGTCCTCATGAGTGTCAGGTAAAACTCACAAATGGATTCCTGTTTACTTGGATTAGTCATGGGTCCTAGAGTGAGGCCTTCCAGGTCATCTCTAGCTATGACTACTGTCCCAGACAGAGACTTTGTTTTTCTGGGCATTGTGCATAGAGCCCTGCCCAGAAGCTTTTTAGTGTAGTGGTAAGAGTAAAGGACATTAAATTTTAAGAGTATATTCACTAATGACACTGGCATTTGCTCAAGTAACTTCTATACCATTAGACTTAAAGGTCCTAAAAATGACCTTGATTTCTTAAGTGACTGGAATTCTTTCCTCGAATGAGTCTGTGGTTGGCAAATTAGATTGAATGTATAATAACAGGCATTTCTGAAATCTCAGTCCTTTGGAATGTGGAAGTTCCAAAGGAGAATCAACTGCTGCATATAGTTCAGTGTGCTTGGTCCAAGTTATTATTCCATAAATAAAATAGAAAATTATGATGATTAAATAGAAAATTGAAATGTAGTTAGTTGACCATAAATTTCAGTTATGAAATTAAAATGTCAAAGTGAATAACATAGCCTGATTAAATACATTAGCACACTGATAAATATCCAGGGTTCCAATTCAGACATTAAGTCATAATGAAAGTTACATCAGCATAAGTGCTTTCATATTCTTGAAACATGTTCATCTTAAACTCCAAATTAAATGATGTCTTTGATATTGAGGTAGTTCAAAACCATACTTCAATCCTGAAAATCTACCAAGGTCCCTCCACATTTCCAGTGGTCCCAATAGTAGTGACTCTGATGGCAGTGAGCAGCAATCGCCTGAAGAATTCTGGTATTTAACTAAAACTTGCTTGCTCACCCTCTAATTTCTTCCAGATTTAACCTAACCTCTTCTAAGTTCTGCTTATGGGTTTTGCTGTCTTGCATGGCTGCTTTGATTAATAAATACTGGTTTAGGCTGTGTTTACTCAAGTCCAAAACAACCCACAAAACTGACGAAAGAGAAAGGAGTCAACTATAATGACAACTATGAAATTTTTCTGTCTGTCAGCATGTAAACAAAATCCTTTGGCTGATATGTTTTCATAATTTCACAGAACAGTTTTGGTACTTGGAAGGGTCATTGTTTCCCAACTGTTTTAGTGGAGACATAGGCTCCAAATCTATGGGTACTTAACCCAAAGCAGGAAGACATTGGACCAAGAGTATATCAATCCAGATGTCCGGGTGGGCTAGACTTCACTGTACATAATACTCAACACTCTTCCACTAACCATATTGCCACTCTGTTTCTTAGAATCCATGAGGACATCCAGGGAAATTGAAGGCTCTGTCTCAGTGCTTGTTTTCAAATTTCTAGTATGGTTGGGAAACAATGGTGTAGACACAGCCTCATTCCAAGTCTGATTTGTCAGTCCCTGTAGAAGGATCAATACCAAAGAAAAATGTGTTTCTCATAGTATTTTAGGTGGGAGAATAAGTATCTGTGTAACATTTCATTCACACTTATAGGAATGTAAATTATATAGTAAAAATGTGGCTCATAAATTTTTGTTTAAAGCTAGCTATAACATTTGGCAAACAGTATACTCTTTCTGCCTTTAAGAATTAACAGATCCTTAAAGACAGCCATTTTAATATATAATTCAGAGTAAGTCTCTAAAATTTGTGCAGAAATTGTTTGGAAACATTGAGGAATCAAAATCACTACGTTTGAGTCCAAACTCTTACAAATCAAGTGGGATTTAATTTGCAGTTTCATTTGCCAAATGTCTGTAGGTTGGTCCAACTCTGGTTATCATTTTGTCAGGTTTCCTCCTGCTGAAAATGTCTGTGCTCTGTTAGGCTTCTAAGTCCGTGTCAGTGGCCAAGTGTGCACCTTGAGTGGTCCTTGGAGGCATGTGAGCAGGTGAAGCCAGCAGCTCAACTAACTGCATCCCTCCCCATTGCCTCTGCAGTACCCAATGCATCTGTCTGAAGCCTGCGCCCATGGTTGTTCTCTGTAGTTTTCTAACCATACTTTCCCTGGGATTTAGGAATGGAACTCTCCTTGAGAGACAACAATGCATGAGTTTATTTCCCAGCCCCCCACTCCCTGTTTAATCTTGTACAAATGTTGGTCATTTTAAGTAGTCACTTGAAATAGAATCTCACTTTAGTTTCTCTCTCTCTCTCTCTCTCTCTCTCTCTCTCTCTCTCTCCCTCTGCATTCTAAATAAAGCCTGAGAATTTGCTTTTAGCTAGCAAATCCAAAGGAGCAGCTGTGAAACTGGCAGACTTCGGCTTAGCCATAGAAGTTCAAGGCGACCAGCAGGCATGGTTTGGTGAGTAGGCTACTTTCCTTCATGTAACTGTGTTCTCCCTGCCTGGAACTCCTAGTTCCTAACACCACCTTCTAGCCACATTATTGTAGCAATGGTCATCTAGCAACATCTACACAAATTGTAAGACATTGAACCTAATGTTAAATTGGTCTATAATCAGAAAATAACTTAAGAGAAAATATTGAGAAAACAAGTTCATGAATACCTTTTGGAAAAGTTCATGGTAAAATGGATTCCGTTCTAAGAATTAATAGAAGGGTTTTAACATACAATGTGGCCTCCACACCCATTCTATAATTGTGTGCACCCTCACTTCATAGTAATAAGAAATAGTATTTTAAAAATTTAATCTAGAGATGGCAGGTAGCTCATGTTATAACCCACCCACTAGGGAGAAGGAGACAGACAGCAGGACCCTGAAGCTTATTAGCTGGCCAGCCTGGTCTGCTTGGCAAGCTCCAGACCATTGAGAGACTCTGTGTCAGAGAATATGGTGGGTAATACCTGAGGTTTTCTTCTGGCACACACATACTAGTGCATACTGCAAAATGTAAAATCTATTTTATTTTTTATTTTACTTTAATTCATATTTTATTCCCACATACTTTGTTCCTTTTACTCACTTTTGACTCTATATCCCTATTCTCTTGAAATATTGGTCAAAACTATGACAATTAACATCCTATGTAACACATTTGATAAAACTGTAAAAAAAATAAATTATCACAGAAATATCCACATACACCCCATTTGTCCTAAGGAACTGGATGCAAAATATGTCTGCAATGTGCTTTTAACATCTAATTGCTGCTAGAGCAGCAGAGGCTCTACTTGGATCTTACATCATGGGAGAATTAGTTTACTTAGTTGCTATTGTGTATCTCATTTTAAATAGTAAATGATTTTTTGAATGAAAAGATAATCTAATGGATATATTTCCAACAGTTGATATTTCTGGTTTTTTGTAGATAGTTTATATCATAACAATCCTACATTATTAGGAACCAAATCCTCTGATGAAGAAGACTGTGTCTACTGTGTTCACGCATGCCATATTCATGAGTTCATTGTTGCATTGTTTCCCAAAACTCATGCATTTGGATATGTGATTCTGAATATTTAGGACTAGAACCAACTGGCAGCTCAAGTGATGCAAGTTCTAAGTAAGAATAAGAATGATAGCATTCTCATGACATTTTAGTCTCAGGGTGAGGGTTTTGATATTTTATATCTAGAATAGGTATTTATTTAATCACTTTATAGTCCAGGCTGGTCTTGAACTCACAGTCCTCTGACCTCAGTGCCCCATATGCTGGAATTTTATACATGGATGCCACCATGCTCAACTCTTACTCTTATGTAGTAGTTTTCTTCTATGTTTCTTTTTCAGAAGAGAATATCATTAACTCTCCTGCTCTTCGCCATCTGTTATTAGTAGTTTACTTAAGACAAATTGAAGTTGACTAGCTTTAACTTGTGGAGTACATGGATTCCATATAAATGTGAAACTAGGAGAGAAAGAACTATAGACATCTAATTAGAGCAATGATGGAACAAAAAGGAGATGCAAATAAGCATCATTGTAAGAATGAGCAGTTCATTTCCAAGAGAACTTGAAGAGGCTAGTCAGCTCATGTGCTCAAAATGGCACCAGTCTGGATGCCTGAGAGGGATCTGAAAGCACACACATGGGACACTGCTCTTCATCAGACTTCAGATGAGTTTCTCATGGGATGCTCTGTGCATCATTCATGAAGGATTGGGAGAGGGGTGGTGAGTGCAAAGGGTAAAGGCAGTAATCCAGGAGCACTACGAAGCCTCTTGCAACAATTGTACCCACCCACCCCTCCTTTGCAATGACACCACACTATGTCCTCAGGTGATCCTTGAGCTGCAGGCAGTGGAGCATCAGTGGATTAGTAATGTGTCCTGCAAAACTTAAGCTGTGCTGAGGGGTCCTACCCCAGAGGCCCTTCTTATGGGCCACCACTTTCTTCCAAGCAGAGGAGAGAAGTAATAAAATGAAGATTAGGCAAAAAAAAAAACTTTGGCTTATATTTAATCTACTTTTGCTAGAGAAGTAACTCAGACATATATCTTTTCTCTTGTACTTTAAAAAAACGGTAGTAAGTATAAGTTTATTGCAGAAATGGGAAATAATTCATTTCTTGGATACTTTGCCTCCTGGTAAATAAAGACTGTGACTTGGCACTAGTTTATGGTTGGAGGAACTTCTGATTGTGTGTTCTTAAAGTCTTAAAGAGACTTTCCATTTTCCATTTGTTTGAGTTTTAAAAAAACACTTTCAAATGAAAATGGTTACCTTTGTTATTTAAGTATTCTTTGCTTGAACAATTCATTTTTAAGAATAGAAAATATTTTCCACTGGAATCTAGTTACAGATTTTATCATTACTTAGTCATTCCTTATCAAATTCTACACTGCTTTATTTAACACAAAGCTTTCTTTGCCATTAGCCCCCTTCACTATGTCTTCTGAAGTTGGAGGTCTCATTGGTCAGCATTGAGGTGATTCATCTGAGTGTCCCTGAGTCTCCTCTTAGTTGCCAGTTATGAATGCACCCTGGTTATTTATTAGTACACATTGAACTAATATTTTTCTGGGCTTATTTCTTCTCAGAATGAGTATTTCATTTACTGGTAGTCCTATCCACTCTGTACCCAAAGGATATCTGTTTTAAATATTTTCTAAAAAACTTTTTAAATTATTTTATTTATTTAAGGTTTTTTTTCCATTTTATGTAACAACCACAGTTCCCCCTCCCTCCCGTCGTCCTGCATCTCCCCATCTTCCCCTCACCCAACCCCCCCATCCACTCCTCAGTAAGGGTAAGGCCTCCCATGGGGAGTCAACAAAGTCTGAAATACCAAGTTGAGGCAGGACCAAGCTCCTCCAACCTGTATGGATGCTGAGCAAGGTATCCTTTCATAGGTATCCCTCCAAAACGTCAGTTCATACACTAGGGATTGCTTTGATTTGTCCTTAGTATTAGGTGTTCCACCCCCCTCTTTTATAGGTGACCGTCAGAGGTTTTTGGGTATTATCTTTTGCAAATAACTAGTCTGCCCTCAGTTTTCTCATTATTCCTTTATAGTTTTAGTTTGAACTTCCCTACAGGTATTGTTAAAACATCTAAACAAAGATAGTGTCAGCACATCATAGTAGATTGACCTCCACACCTTCCACACCTCCTGTGTGTGTGTGTGTGTGTGTGTGTGTGTGTGTGTGTGTGTGTGTGTGTTTTCAGTGTTTTCAAATAACATACAAGATAATACAGACCGAACTTATCTTCAGTTAAAGAAGCTCCCTAAAGCATTCTTTCTTAGTTGACCATTTCCCACTGATGTTGTCATGCCGAACTCTGACTCATGAGCATCTATTTTCCCTAGGTTTTGCCGGCACACCTGGCTATCTCTCTCCAGAAGTCCTGCGTAAAGATCCTTATGGAAAACCAGTGGATATGTGGGCATGTGGTAAGAAATTATATTTTAAAGTCAAATTTTGTAATAGACCAGTGTCTTGGTCAATTTGGGATGCAATAGTAAAACTCCAGAGACTGAATGGTTTAAACAAGTGCAAAGTATTTGTAATGATTCTTAGCAATTGGACAGCCTATGGTCATGGTAACTAGATTTGCTGTCTAATGAGGGTGTACTTGTGGATTCACAGATACCCATTTTCTTTTTAAGGCCACACATGGTAAAAAGAGTTTCTCATAAGAACATTAATCTGAGTCATGAGGCCTTTTCTTGACCAAAGCCTTCACTACTAATTTCATCTCATTAGCACTGAGAAGTCCAACATGTAAGTTAGGGGAAGGCATAAATGCACTGTAGCAAGAAGTGTTGTTAGACTTGAACTCAGAACGTCTCAAACTTTAGACTCGTGGAGAGGTGGATGAAGAATAGACCTTGATGTTTTTTGTTAGCTCTGGAATGGACAGGCTGACACTTCTCTGGTAACACCAGTGCTTTATCTTGGAACTCTGGAAACAAAGATGTGGATAGCCTTGTAATGTTACCCACTTATTCTTGATTTTGAATGCAAACTGATGGAATCCTGTGTGTTCTGGGTTCCTTCGATATCCAAAAAGGCAGTTATGAGAAGGGGATATTCCCAGCCTTTGGTTTGTACTAGCTCTAATATCTGAGCTTTTTCCCCCCATTTCCCTGTAAAATAAGAGTATTATTCCCTCACAGAGTTGTGGGAGGCTCAGACAAGGCACATATTAAGGAAACATGTCTTATGGTGGATAAAGCAGTGTAAAATACAGATAGGCATCATCATCCTTGAGATTTAGAAGTGGCACTTAACCAAAGGCTGAGGTCTTAGATATAACCCAAGCACTCTCTTCCCCCCTGCCTTCCCAAGGCTGTTTTCTAAGGTGAAATCCAAAGAGCCTCTGAGTGAGAGCTGGCACAAACCGTTCTTGTCCAAGTCTGAATTCTAAAGAGGTCGATGGCTCAAATATTTCCCTTATACTAAATTAGCTCCCAGCCCAGATCTGTTTCTGCTGATGAACTTTCAGGAAGCATATTTGACCAAGATTCAGGCTGACTGACAATGACACATCTTTGGAGTATAGTCATACTCTTGAAACATTTTAAAATATAATAGAGTCATATTTTTGTGAAGTACAGGGTTGTGGAGATAGAATGTTGTGTTCTGATCTTAAACTCTGTAAGGACTGTGTGGTCAGTTATTGGTCCAGAACAAGAGGAGAATTACTGCAGTATTAGGGCCAGTGTCCCAGTTCTGGGAGTCCTAAAAGGGTAGACTTTGCCACCCACTCTAAATGCTAGTTAGAAAAAGGACTAGATAGAAATGCAGATGAAGCAGATTTAATCAATGTGACCACACTGACAAAGGTAAATAAATATATGGGGTCCATGACCTCAGGTCTGTTTGGGGTGTTGGCATGAACTTCAGTTTAAGTAGCAGAAGAACCGTAGCAGAAAACAAGATATATGCATGATTAAGATCCCTTGGTCAAAGTATGTCTTCTTTACTGTCTCAGTTCTGGTTCAGCAGTAGTTGAAGAACTCTCTATTCTTACAAGGAAAAGAGCTGGTGCTCATGAACTGTTCCAGGATAGTCAGGCCATTATAGATAATTGCCTCCCTTTATGGGTGATCTCTCCTATTTGATATAACTGAAACCAAGGTATCTGGAGATTTAAGACAGTGGCTCTTGTTCATGTGTCTTTAGCCTTGATGAGGACCTATCTGAGTTGACTGTTATAGATTTTAAATAGATACTCATTGAATGATTAACATGCCTATAAGAAACTAAATAGGAATGTGACTGAAAGCATAGACATAGATAAAATAAAAGGGATGAAATGCAGGTTTCTATACTGCTTTCAGTTACCTCGTGTGCCTGGAGGAGGAGGACTGGGTGCTTTACAGGAAAAATAGCCAGTGGTTGACACAGGTGTAGCAAGCTTTTATTTTATGTTATTTTTCTTGCCTGTTTCAGTAGACACTCATCTCCAACTTGCCTAACCCATGTAATTCTTTTCTTTAAATATTTATTTATTATGTATACAGTGTTTTTCCTGCATGTATGCCTGCATGCTAAAAGAGAGCACCAGATCTAATGAGATTATAGATGGTTGTGAGCCACCATGTGGTTGCTGGGAATTGAATTCAGGACCTCTGGAAGAGCAGCCAGTGTTCTTAACCTCCGAGCCATCTCTCCAGCCCAACCCATGTAATTCTTCCATCCTGGTTTTCCTCTAATCTCTCCCTTTTTTGTTCTCCCTCCTGTCTATTTCGTAGCATGTGCTATGGTTAAAAGAACACACCCAGCTCTTCAGTTTGCGTGTTGTAAAATAGTATAAATTGTTTGCTGTCTGTCTCAGCCTCCTCTTAAAAATAGAGATAACATAGGGCTTGACTCATAGCACTGCCAAGAAGCATGTGAGAAGATTGCTTAATGTGTGTTGGTTACTATTAATGTTGTTACTATAAAGTTGTTTGGGGGATTTTTTGGTTTTCTTTTGGTTTGGTTTTTGGAATGAACTTTCTGGATATCTGGTGTAGCCTTATTTTAGAAACAAACTTTAATAGTTAGTTCAACACTACAAATGATTATGATAACCTGTTGAGTATTATAATGCCCTCATGATTTTCTGGATTTCAAATTCTCTGTGTGTGTTGTTTCTCTGTCTCTTCTCTCCTCCCCTTCTTTTTCTCTCTTCTCTCTTTGTCATCTCACAGGTGTCAACATCTAATTTCTGTACCCACAGTCCCCTCTGCTCTGCTCTGTGCCATCCCTTGTTTTCTTCACCTGGTGTTGTAGGATCCCTTCAGGATAAGAAATGTTCTAGCTCAAGCATGGATCTGTAGTCAGCTCCCATTTTTTCAGAGACAATGAACAATTTTTCATCTAGTAATTAGTGTAGAAATTCAATTGGATAATTTCATAGCACATATTTATGGAAATGGCCATCACTGTGCATAGCATAAGGATTGTTATTATTTTCTTAGTATCATTATTACATTTCAGGGTCATTGGTATTGGTTTCAACTCACTGCTTCACCATTTTACTATGTCTTCTCACACAGGTGACATGAAGACATATTAAATTTATTTTAGTTATAAATACCATCTTCTTGCTCATCGCATTTTGTTTTCAGCCAATTGCTTACCTTGAGGGTAAACTTCTCATTCATCAGCTCCCTCTTGCCAATTCATTCCTTTCAGAAATAGATACTATATTGTGTGGTAAGAAATAGTGCTAGTCGATTTACAAAATAACAACAACAACAGCAACAACAAAGAACAATTCCAGAGACTACGCCATTCTTTTATGTGAACTAAGTTATAAGCATTTGCTATAACAGGGTCTTTGTCACACTAGAGGTTGAGACACAGCACAGCATGGGCATAGGGACTAAAGGAAGGCCGTACAGTATTAGAAACGTGCACATATCTGCACTTGGGAATCCTCAGACACCACCATTACCTTGCTGTTATGGTCTCAGAGTATGATCTGACTGATAGCTGATCTTTGAAAGCAACCAGTACATTAATGAAATGTAAATAATACACACGAAGGGAGCCAGAATACAACCCTGTGTTCTGCCATTACCAATAGTAAATTGGTTTTAATGGTTTCCTTGTATATGAAGTGGCTTTCATAATTCCCTACTGGGATGAGCAAATGTTTATAGATATCATAAGATTTCTGGCTTTTAATAGAGCTCCTTCTAGAAAATTCCTTTAAAATAAAGGAGAGAGGGAAGAACGGCAAGCCAAAAACACAGACTTGCCTCCCAGAATATATTTATGCTTCTTACAACTTTATCTGTCTTATCAGATGTCATTCTGAATGGTCATGAGTAACAGTATATCACTGACCATCACAGAATGTACCATGACTTTGGCCAAACCTTTGGACTATTGTGGGATATGTTTCTTCTTTTCTTGCAGAGAGAGAGAGAGAGTGTGTGTGTGTGTGTGTGTGTGTGTGTGTGTGTGTGTGTGTGTAGCCACATAACCCCAAGGACATAGCCTTGTCATGCTTCAGCTAAAATAAGTTAACACTGGGCATTTTGTTACTCTGAAATCCCAGCCCAGTTGACAGTACCCTGTCAGTTCTGTAGCTGTCTGACACTAGGCCACCACTTGAGAGGTTGGCTGCCTCACAGTTTATCACCATCTTCTGCAGTCACCACCCTGGGGGCCTTGCCCTCAAATATAATCTTTACCAGCATGCTTCTGCTCAGAACACACAATGTTTTCTTAAATCTCTTTTGATTATGTGTAATTTCCTAAATTTCGTGCCTTTCAAACCATGAACCACAAATTATGCTTCAGTATGACCTGAAGTCTTATCAACACTTCAGCTCTCTGGGACATGCCCCAAAATTATTAGATAAAACTCTCCGAGGCCATATGATCCTATAGTTCCACTCCTGGGTGTACTTTCAAAAGACTTGAAAACAGAGTCTTGAAGAAACGGTGTCTGCCTGTGTTCATAGCAGCGTTATAAGTTCACACGTGGGTGAAGATGTCCGGTGATAAGTCTACTAACTAAGGTCATACACAATAGTATATTATGTAGCCTCAAAAGGAAATATGTTCTCACGGGCACTACCAGATAGATGAACACCAAAGGCATTACATTAGTGAAATAAAAGTATTAGTAAAAAAAAAAAAAAGTATTAAAGGACAACCCCTTTGTAACTCTGTTTACTAGGCCACCACTTGAGAGGTTGGCTGCCTCACAGTTTATCACCATCTTCTGCAGTCACCACCCTGGGGGCCTTGCCCTCAAATATAATCTTTACCAGCATGCTTCTGCTCAGAACACACACTGTTTTATTAAATCTCTTTTGATTATGTGTAATTTCCTAAATTTCGTGCCTTTCAAACCATGAACCACAAATTATGCTTCAGTGTGACCTGAAGTCTTATCAACACTTCAGTTCTCTGGGACATGCCCCAAAATTATTAGATAAAACTC